AGATAGCGCTATAGGCTAACGATAAGATTCAAGGGCCTTCTATTTAGTCGATGCTTGTTTTTCCGGATAAGTAGTATTTTATCTTCAAGTTCAAGGGAGTTGTTGGAGTGCTTTTGTAAGTCCTGTTGGCGTGCTATAAAATTTCATTTGAATGATAGGCCAATCTAAGTCTTCCATGTCGGTTCGAGGGGAAGGAAGTTCTCATTTTGAAACCTGCGAGCTCTAGAGCAAGCAAATAAGAAAGCTAGAGATAGAGCGGCAGGATAGACATAAAGCTATGGAGAGCTTAGGCAAGTTTGAAAACTGGAATCTTGAAAGCTAGCAGTCTGTTTTTAGCCAAAGAGGATAAAAGATGAGAATATTAACCTCCTTTTTTAAGTGTATGGATGAACTTCTTTTTCCCTTAGCTGTAGTGTTAAGCATTAACTAATTAATGTGCTTTTAATTGATTGGTTAATTTCGCTCTCCAGACAAGTTAGGTTTCAAGCCTATAAATGAATCTTCTTACTCGCATATTGAATACATTCCCTTTTCGGTTCACTCCGATCCAAACGAGCTAACTCTTGTACCCCCTACCGAGCTAAGGAGCGTAACGAATGTAACGTGCCTCAAAGGACTACTATTAATAGATGTATACCAGTCTTGGTGGGATTCTTTCTGTCTCCTTCTCCGGATAAGAAGTAATAGGCGATACGATCGAATGGGGTCCCTGCGAGTTCCCTGTGAGTCAGTTGGAGGACTTTTTGAACACTATGCAGAAATATGTAAGGGCTAGGTCAGTGAGGAAGGGAGTGGATTTCCTGAGTAAGCTGGGAAGCGATCTAGACGATAGAATGCAGTTTCCTTTGATGGGGCCCTTCCTGCAGCAGATTCGTTCACAGACGATTCAATAGCAACCCCTTCTTTTCTTGCAGCAAGAGGGTATTCGAGAACAAGCTCCTCTAGAGATGAATGTGCAGCTGATTCAATAGGAGCTTCTACGATCACAGTAAGAGCCTCTATGCCAACAGCGGCAACTCTCACAGCAGATAGGCAACGGTTACTGAAACAGTTAGCCAAAGAAGAAGACCGGTAACGAAAGCAACGGATATTCCAACAACAATAGGTATTGTAACAATAGGATTCTAAACCTTCTCGTCTTCTGAAGGCCACTCACTCGCTTGAAGATGCCGAATAACCGCCGGTTCTTTAGTACTTGGTTGGAATACCCAAGAGATCCCACTGGATAAGGCCTATTCCCTGCTCGTAAATTAACGGTTTAAGTTCATTTTTTCTTACTGTCGCAAGCCATTCTTCCACTCTATGATTATGATATGATTCACTTTCAAACGGAACAGGGCATTCTTTCTGATCTTCCGAAAGATCTCCTTCTTGCTAACATAAGGAAGATCATATTCTAACCCGCGTAGAATGAAGACTTGTCTTACCGCATACCAGTTGCATGTGGGAAGACCAGAAGCGGGGTGAAGAATAAATAATGGGCGGACGATCACATCGTCCGATAGCTAAATGGATGGTACTTGGCTAACCCGAATCTCTTCACTCCTCATCTCACTCACTCACTTGAAGACCGACCGAATGTGGACATTAGCAGCGCGTAGTCCTTCACCACAGAACTCCCTCAGCTTACTTGCTTCCTTAAGCCAAAAGCACCAAGAGTAGCTACTCCGACAAGAGCAGAAAAGGCACCAACATCGGTGACTAGTAGGGATTCCACCAGTTCCAGTTCAGGCATCATCCTAATCATCAGATAGGGAAGCCGGGATCCTCTACTTAATTCCCGGAAGTGAAAGAACAATTATTTCCATTTTTGATCTAGTTGCTTGCTCACTCACCTCACTTTCTTTTTAGTTCGAAAAAAGCTAATTCGAATCTCGATCTCTGGAATCGAAACCAAGACCAACGAGCCCCTTACCTTAACCTTAGGCAAGCGAAAGACTTACGACTTTGAATTGAGGTAGAATCCTAAGGAAGCTCTTTCAAGTCCTCTGGGCACAAAGGAACTACACAACTTTGTATCTCTTTAGTGATCAGTCTTTTCTGCTCTTAATAGAGAGCGCTGTTCCAGCAGAATCCTAATCAGACTATTGCTCGTACCTAATCACTGCTTAAACCCTCGGTGAAACTGGCTTAAGCCCGACTACAGAGCCTATCTATATCTATATAGGGATATACCACCTGTGAACCAAAGCACATTCTAACTCCCTTTGGCACAAAAGAAAGTCTGCTATCAAATAAAAATCGTCTTCTGTGTGGGATGCCAGGTTGTGAATTGTAAACTCTCCGTTCCTTCTTGACTCGCCTTCAGTCTTGATGGCTGCTAGCTTCCTAAACAGGATTTCTGTTCTATGAGGTACAGGCGGCCGCACGAAGCAAGAGGAAATAGGTATAGGCTGGATCAATAAAAGAAAGATAACGAAAGTGTACAAGATTCCAATCGGGCTGGCTCAGAAGGAAGGTGGCGGCGAGGAAGGGTCTTTCGAATCTCGATCAAATAGCATAGCACGGGACCGTGCCAAGCTGTAAGCATAGCGAGTTAGGTATGGGCTTTCTTTTAACTACCAGAATCAGCAGTTGGCCTATTGTTGATCAAAGTCTGGGTTGGCGGTCCCTAGTTATAGATAGGCTTTCGCCTTCCTTTTTCCGTCCAACGAGGATTTTAGTGTTTGGAGAATTCTTCCTATTTGACCCGATGCCGTACCCTTCGTGTGTTCATGATACAGGGCCGGGGTACATATTCCACAAAAACAAGGTTCGACTACGAGGATTGATAGGTTGTTCATTTTGTAACCTTCACCTCTATCTACACAGTTTCATTTCTACGTCTTCGACGAGCAAGACTGACATAGGGTGAGGTTTCAACAGGGCAAGCGGAGATTATCCAACCTGCGGTCAGCTATGATATACTCAACTTCTTCTTTTCACCTCCCTCTTCGATCGATCCGGAAGACGTTCCCTTAGCGACATCTCAAGTCCTCCGGTCGAGTTGGAAAACAACCCTTGAGACCTACGAGCTCCTAAAGCAAAGAACGAAATAGACAGACTTAGACGAGGGCATCTTGAACCCCTCTCCCTACGGTCGAGTTAGCCCATGACCTCAAGATCAAGAAGAGCCAGCCATACATAGAAGACAAGGTAAGACCTTGCTCGACCAAATGAACGTAGCAGCAGCATCATGAGATAGAACCCGGTCCTGTCCCGGCTGTCCATCTGTGGAACATGGGGCTGAAGACCTCTAGAGTACCTACTAGAAGAAAGACAGAACCACTTGGCTAGGGGGACAAAACCATTTGGAGGAAGAAGCAGATGGAAGACTGGGTCACTTGTGAAAGAACTAGCCGAAGGGGACCATCACAGTTGGGGCGGTGGATGACAGGCTAGCTCACCAAGAACATCAGGAGAGGTTGGGGAAGACTTGGCTGCGGCAAGGAGAGGTTAGGTCAAGGGATTGCAGAAAGAAGTCCCATCAATCAGAAGAAAAGGATGTTCCAGGAAAGAGGGGAACAAGGATATCCAAAAGAATAGGCCTTGAAGGAAGGCATGAATGAGGGGAGACCGGCTGCAAGATATGCTACAAGGTTGAATCAGTCCACTAAGGGATGACCTCTTCTACATGATTTCAGCGAAGTGTTCAAGTCAAGGACTTAGGCGATCAAAGAAAAGAAGACTTGAAAGAAATTATCCACAGCTAAGGCATCCATCCAATACAGATAGAGCGTCATATACAATGACTCTATCCTTTGGAAACCACCTATTCCTCTCATCGACTACCTTCACTAGGGTCAAGATTCATGGTATTCTAAGGGCCGGAGCAAGGGATTGCTTTCGTCTCTTTCTTTCCTTCAGGGCCTGGAATGGAAGTTGTCGTTAAGCTTCTTTGGATCAATCGATAGTGTGCTTATCGCTCTACTTCGCTTGATTCTCATGCCAGTGGACTCGTCGCTCAGCTTTAGGCCTTATTAGCTTCATTTCTGAAGTGAGCATGAAGTCCGAATTGAATAGATACTGAGAAAGCGTCTTTCGTGATGAAAGTAGCAAGTAAGGATTCAGGATTGAGAAAGAAGCAAAGCGCAGCTGGAGCTGAATCTATTATAGGAGGCGTAGGGTAGGCTCTTTGGATAGATTGACTGGCTTAAGCCGATGAACCAGCTTCTACCACTGACGAGCTAATTCGGACTATGCCTAACTAGAGGAAGAAAATCACCTGATCTTGGCTCGGCATCTTTTGAAAGGGAATCCTATATCTGGTAAGAAAGGGCGAGTCGGCTACTCGAAGCGGAGAAGCAAGAGCTCACTCGACCCGGGAGGAAGTTTCATTCCAAACTGCTCTTAGTTTGAGCGGACAATACGCTGTTAGACCGGGTCAAACTTACCTTTAGGTTAGGGATCGGAGTTGCAAACTGCTCGACCGGGGAGGTCTTCCCACTTCCTCTTCCCATTCATTAAAGGGTACTAAGAAGAACTGAGGAAAGGAGCGGAGTTGAAGAGCGGTACTCCTTCTCTTGAAAACTAACTTCTTAAGGTTAGGATATGCTCGCCCGTCTACCGGGATAGGAGAAAGAGAAGATCTCGACTAGGAGTCTGAGGGAATCTCTAGCGGATCTTTTCTAAGCCAGGAAGATGCCTCTGCTGAAGTAGCAAGTATTGGGGTTTCAAACTGAGATTTTACTTTCTAGTAAAAAGGGTTTACCTGAAAGAAAGAATCCTGTAGCAAACGGGATTGATTCCACTTCCTTGCTGTTAAGTACGTCCCTCTTATCTCTTGCCGATTCCGAACTCCAGGAGGAGCCGACTAAAGCTAAAAGCAGAGTTGGAGCTTGGCAATGCAGTTGATCTTCTTGCAGCTGAGAGAGATGCTGGCATTGAATGAAGCTGATTCCCCCGTATTGGACAGAAAGAACCTTCTATAATGAAGAGTCGGATGTGAGGGAAAGCCCTCTAGTCGAGTAAGAGAACTGAAAGTTTCAAGCCAGTAAAGTCCGATAGTGTGTCAGTTAAGACTAAAAGCCACGAACTAGCCTCTTTTCCTTCCCTTCTATGGTGAAGTCAGAGCCGGGGCAATCAAATATCATCGATGGGTCCCAGATAGCTTTGTCTGTTCGCCACCACTCGGATTCAATTGCGCATTTGAGAGCATCTATCTCATACTTGTCGGCCTGGCGCGGATCTGAAAGGCGCTGTTAAGCGAAAACTAAGAGAAAGAAGGTCAACTGGGGAAAGACCTTTGGTTCGGTATCGGCATCGGTAGGATTCACAGCTGATGAAAGACCTGCTCCGTCTCCTCTGCCCCTGAGCTTCTCCTTTCGTTTATGTCGTGAAAAGAGGGGCTTCCCTACAATTCAAGAGCGGACACTTCCTCATTCCAGGTCTCAAATCAGTAGCAAAGAGTCCATAGACCGCATCTGCGAAATCTCTTCATTTATGATAATTCAGGTGCCCCTGTTTACTTTTTCTTTCCACACGGCTATTGAACTCCCGCAGCTCCTACCTGATTACCTTGTCGCTCCCTCGGGCGCACCTGACTCTAATTAATCAAAAAGAATTCTACGAGAACCCCTCGGACCAGACAAAAGGTTTTCAACTCATAAATAAAAAGGTTGCTCGGAGGTTCTCTTTCAAAGGCGGAATCAAACAGCTTGCTTTACTTTACACACAAATTTTGGAGAAGTTATACCCGCCAAGGCAACTACGCTTCTTCAAGTATCATCGTTGGTTTTGAATCTACGCATTCAATGGTTGGTGCAAGATCAGCTGCTCTTCCATACCGAGAAACCTTACTCCTGAACTTGTCTATCCATTCCCGGTGCTGCCCGATCTCTAAGTGTTGTTCTGACATGTGTGCGATTTAGCAACATAAATCTTTTGTTCTTTATCCGCTCCGACTCCTTCTTTCTTTAACCGCTTGACCTATACCTAAAAGCCCAACCGTCAAGGTTTGGAACTAATGGAGGAGGTCTACTTAGGCCCGCTGGAGCCAATTCTGTTGATGGAAGGGCAGCTGCTTCAACCGAAGAATGGGATGAATTGGTTCTATCCTTGGTCTTTTCTAGCGGATTGTATCCTGAAAAGACATCCATGAATGAAAACAATTTAGGTGAGTTATGTCAAAAGGTCTCCTCATTAGAGGATTCAGGTGCCCCTTCTCGTCTCGAGTTGAGGTTGCTAATGTCCCCACCTTCACCCGCTTTTAGAAGTGGATTCGAACCACTGGACTCTATTTTCTGAGGATACATTGATTCTGTTCAGCCGTTACCATTCTATATGCCTTTTCCGCCTTAAACCCCTTATCCCGGATAGGAAATGTATGCAAACGATGCAGGAATCGAAGTTGAGTGATTCAGTAAGATAGAAGAGCAATTGACTAGTTTGTTTCCTACAGGTTGACCGATTCAGCTCGGCCAATTGAGACAGATAGGGAGCATGCCATTCAAGGGCTGGTTTTCCTATTTATTTGAAATCTTATCCCGTCGTCACCTTGTAAAAAGCTAATGCGACACCCAATTCTTATTTATTTATATTAAAAAATTAAGGACCAACCGGCACACAAAGGGTGAACCCACCTTGTCTAAGACGCGAATGAACGAACATTTGAAAGAGATGGTGACAAACAAGGAAATCGGCGCATTTGGCTCTACCTCTCACGCCAAACCATCGTGGTTGGAACTTGTTTCAATGAAAAAATTACCAGAATGACCAAAACATCTCTTCCTGAACAGGCCCAGAGGAAATACAATCATTGAAGTCGTCCCCGGCAATCATCTTTGAAGTGACACAACAGACTATGACTAGACATCTCGAGGAATCCACGCTTCTCACATCTCGTAAACAACTATACATCTTGGAAGCAAAGGCCTGGAGCAAAGGTATTTTACCCCCTGGTCAATCCACAGTCAAATCATCCAGCAACAGATTAAGTAGTCGAAAAAGCAGTAGACATTACAGAAATTGAGAAGGTGCTTTCTCTTAACTCAGCATGGTCATACAATAAGAATAAGAAGTTGGCTATTCTCAGGTCTGGGCTGGGTATCCATATTAGGTTAGGGAGTCAACAAATCCCAGTCATAAAGGACAAGAATAAATCGGACCTTAAATTGTAGAATGCCCCAATCACACAGGTTCGTTATCCAGGGTCTTGCGGCTGATGTGCCATTTGATAAGAGAGGATTGCCTTTTTTTGATGTTCTTTGTAAGGTAGGGGCGCGTCTGATAATATTGTTAAAAGGGCACAGCCAAAGCCTTCTTTTATTAAATATAAAAGAGGGGAGGCGGAGGAAGTAGCTCTAACGATAGGAGGGAAAGGTCAGTCACTTGACTGTAAGAACGACTGGAAGGAGAGGACTTTGACAGCTCTATGTTTTCATGAGGTCGAACTTCGAATGAGCTATACACTCTAGGAGAAAGCCGCTCTACCTACAGGGTAGTCACCGACGTTTCAAAGTAATGTCCACGCTCGCTCTAGTGAGTTAAGGTGTATGATCAGGCCTCCTACATGGTATCCCT